AATTTACACCATAATTTTTTTTGAATTTTTGAAAGGACAGAGTATACTAAATTAAATTATACAAAAACATGAAAATTAATGCTTACATTCAACTGCAATATGTACATACAAATTGTTATAATCGAGACCCTAATTTTTAAAGGATTTGACCGGTAAGCCAGTGGAAGGCCTCGATCAGATGACCAAAAGCACCAGCTGCTGGTCATTATATGATTAAGATCCCTGTCACGAAACACTCATCCTGTTTGCTGACAAACTTTACTTAACCTAACCAGCTGAATTATATATAAGAAATGTAATACTTAAAATTAAAAGCTTGGTTGTTTGTGTTACAAAGAAGACGATGTCTATAAAATATAAACATCTCAAGAGAATACTAGAAGATCTGCTCTTCTAGCATTCAGTCTGTTCCTGGTTTTTGTAACCAGTAGTCAGTATTCTGGTCCAGTTATCCTTTAAAATTATCATAAACTGTAATAATACTTCAGCATTACAGCTGCTAGGATACTAACTAATGAAGTAAAAATTTAGAAGTTTATTAACGAAGTTGTCTAGGTGGACAAAATTAAAGTAAAAGTTTTTTTATATAATTAAGGATATAAGTTCCTACACTTTTCTTGTAAAGTAAAGAGAAATTGTACAGTATTATAGTACTGATGGCGCAGTTAATATCTTTATGGCTCTTAAGTACCATCTTGTACAGTGTCAGCAATTATAAAAAACAATACAAGTATATACAAGCATGTGTGTGAAAATGAGTGTATGTGCTCAAAGTGGTTCGTTATGTCTCAGTAAAACTTGACTCAACTTCAACAGTGACTGACTGAACGTTCTCAACTAATTTATCTTCTTGACCAACCAGGAAATCAAAATAACTTGCTTGAACAGTAAGATGAATGATTGGCTGAACAACAATTATATAACAAGCAGCAGCACAGCATCAGGAACAAAGAGACAAAATAGCTACCATAATTGGGGACCATTGGCAGATCCTCCATAAAAGGCATAAAATTCCTTTAATACTGAATCTAAGTTTAGCATAACCAGATCCCCGACTACAACAGTGCTCAGAGACCAAACAACATAGGTCAGAAGCTGTAGCTAGGGACCTGGATTAACTTAGACTGTCAGTACAACACAGCCTCAGTAAAACGTCAAAAATCACTAAGTCTGAGCAATACTCTGTGAACAGAGTTACATAGAGTTACAAGAAGTATGTCTCGACCCACCACCGAAATCATACTCTACCAAAACAGTCTAGATAATAAACATACAACCAGAGACGAGAGAGGTCTCTGGAAAGAGAGGTGTTGGTCAAGCGGTGGAGGAGAGAGCAATCAAGGGAGGACAGTCTCCAAACTCAGGTGCAATCACGTGATGCTCCCGGCAACTCCAGGACAGTGCGAGGTACATCCTGACACTAACAAGCGAGTGGTAATTAACAAGGTAGTTTACCAATGCGGACAGTCACTCACAACTCTCGAAGAGTGAGCATAGTGAAATGTAAATGTTACATCCTTCTTAATGACCTAAGCTAAGTCAAATAATAATATAAAGCAAGATATTTTCATTTTAGATAATGATGAAAATATCTGCATTATAAAATTATGTGAAAAGGCAATTCACATCAAATATATATAATATACACTGGGCCCCATTCAGGGGCACAATAGCTGGGTAGGCTGCTCAGGGATACAAAACTATTGTTGCAACCTCACCTTGAGCAGTGACTCGGACCTCATCCAAAGCATATTATCTGAGAAACTGACTAAAATAGAAGTCGTTCAATCTCATTGGATGGACTTATGTGTAACTGTGGTCTCTAACTACTTAGAATAACTGTTTTGATAGTAACTGATCTGGTCTAAATGAATGACTCTGTATTTTGCAATTCATGCCCCAAGTGCTATTTGGTTTGGCATATAAACCGGAAACTGCATTATAGCAACTACATAAAATCATAATTAGACATAAACGTGAGCTGCAGATCAAGAGTTATGTGATGTTTATATTTCTATTAAGGGCTTTGGAAACTACTTGTAATAATATCTGACAGTAAAATTGATTCTGACGTCAAATCAGTTTATTTCATATAGATAATTTCATGGACCTTGAGAAGAGAAGTAATTGGCAGTTCTTCCAACTTTGTATTTTTAATTCGTTAAATAAGTAACCAAAGCAGCTGGAGCTTTTGGTCATCTGACTGAGGCTTTTCACTGTGTTCAGGAGCTGTTACTCATCTTCATGATAAATCATATCAAATGTAAAGAGATAATTCAAGAGGCTGTACAATGGTAACTTAATGCCCTGAAATGGCCCAGAAAATTGCATTGCAATATTGATAAAATTTGTGCAGACCTGTGAAAGGCATTGTGCGGATACCTTCAAGACATCCGTGTGATTTACATCAGACAGGAATGAAAAGTCTGTGAACACTTCATGTTTTCTTTATTTGAAAACATAAATTAAAACAATAAGCAACACATCATGATATTCTCAAAAATTGACACTTCTCAAACACTGATACTTCCCAAACACTGATACTTCCCAAACACTGATATTTCCCAAACACTGATACTTCTCAAACACTGATACTTCACAAACACTGATACTTCTCAAACACTGATACTTCCCAAACACTGATGCTTGCCAAACATTGATACTTCCCAAATACTGATACTTCCCAAACACTGATACTTCCCAAACACTGATACTTCTCAAACACTGATACTTCCCAAACACTGATACTCCTCAAACACTGATACTTCCCAAACACTCATACTTCTCAAACACTCATACTTCTCAAACACTGATATTTCTCAAACACTAATACTTCCCAAACACTGATACTTCTCAAACACTCATACTTCTCAAACATTGATCCTTCCCAAACACTGATACTTCTCAAATGCTGATACTTCTCAAACACTGATACTTCTCAAACACTCATACTTCTTAAATATTGATCCTTCCCGAACACTGATACTTCCCAAACACTTATACTTCTCAAACACTCATACTTCTCAAATATTGACCTTCCCAAACACTGATACTTCTCAAACACTGATACTTCTCAAACACTGATACTTCTCAAACACTGATACTTCTCAAACACTCATACTTCTCAAATGTTGATCCTTCCCAAACACTGATACTTCCCAAACACTGATACTTCCCAAACACTGATACTTCCCAAACACTGATACTTCTCAAACACTGATACTTCCCAAACACTGATACTTCTCAAACACTGATACTTCCCAAACACTGATACTTCTCAAACACTGATACTTCTCAAACACTGATACTTCTCAAACATTGATCCTTCCCAAACACTGATACTTCTCAAACACTGATACTTCTCAAACACTGATACTTCTCAAACACTCATACTTCTCAAATATTGATCCTTCCCAAACACTGATACTTCCCAAACACTGATACTTCTCAAACACTCATACTTCCCAAACACTAATATTTCCCTAACACTTATACTTCCCTAACACTGTTACTTCCCTAACACTTATACTTCCTAAATAATAATACTTCCTAGTGAAGCTGCACTGGTAGTTCCCAAACAATATTTCCCAATGATACTGTACTGAATCTTCCCAAGCAAATAAATTTTTTTTTTAAGATTAATTCAAGTACAAGTGACATATGTTTTTTGCCCAAGTCTGTGTTACTAGTTCCCCTTTCAAAAATATATTTTTCTTTTTTTTCTGTTGCACAGAAAATTGCTGGTTTGCTAATTGGGACGATTCTTAATCAGGTGAATTATTTTTAGAGAAATCTGGAGCTACAGGTCGAGGCCCCATTATAATGTGATTAGCTTGAGAAATCGAGGTCAAACATTATTTTTGAGAGAGATGATGGCTAGCTGCAAGGGGTCACGTCCAATTTTTGAAAAATGTTATGGAAATGTTTTGAAAAACTATGATAAATTAAATTCGTCACGAATTCTCGTATGTGGGAGCTACAGTTCAGCCATCAATCAGTCAATTTAACTGTGACAATTCTAAGTCAACTTCAGCTAAATTGATTTTGTAATTGATGACTTTGTCAGTGACATTGTGATAGGAAAAGTGGGCATAAAACTGTGTTTTCATTCATTTATTTTTGTCATATTAATGAAATTAGAATTTGAATAAATGATTATAAAACTACAAGTTAATAAGACTTGCATAACATTCATATATCTTTATCCTGCAAACATTTCGACAGTTTCGCTTCCAGAATGAAGCTACACAAATGTTGCAAAAATTAAAATTCTTGAATTTTACATTGTAGTAACTCTTCTGTAGCTGCCATCATTGAGGTACACTTCCTGAACTTTCTCACTTAAAGTTTTCTTCACGCAGCTTTCGGAGGTTTCGAACAATTTTGCCTCGTTTTTTTATGGACTTACCAATTTGAGTTATTGATATGATGTGGATAAATGTAGACATTTACATATTTTTGCTATTATTTTTCTTTTTTATTTTTTTCTACGATATTTTAAAGTGTGAAATTCTTGAGCTATTTCTTTCTCCTTTTTGAAATTATTTTACGACTTATTTTGAAAACTAAACTAAGCTCTATGCCAGGATGGATCATTCACCACAAGGAATGGTGAAGTTAGGAAAGTTACTATACAATGGAGCACTACCTACCAGCCTTCCCGAAATATAACTGAAAAAGCTTATCAGACAAACTGGATCAATATTTAACAAGCCATCGCTTTGTTATTTTCCTCAAGAGGCAAATATATATGGTAGTTAACTTATACAACATATACAACAACTTCAAATATTAGAAATAAAACCTGGAAGATGTTTTAAACCCTTCAGAACATTAAGTCAAGTGTAGCTCTATTTTATTTTCAGATTTGTGAGCTTCTGTTAATTTGTTTGAACCACTGAATTGTTACTTTTATTCATCAATAAATCAATCTTTCATCACTAGTCATTAACTTTGACTGCGTTCACAAAAATTTAAAAATAATCATGAACAGCATGTTTAGAAATTATTGTTTTTCTTAAGAGACTCCAGATATTCCAGGATCCCGCACACCGATGAAGCTTTTCCATGAAAGTCATCATCTGGTCTGGGAACCCATTTTCCTGACTCTTTATTTACTGCTCGACTATAGACTGACATAACTCGATCAAACACAGATTTTTTGTCCCACTCTGTGGATGCGCTTTTCTCGTCTTTAAATAGTTGTTTAAGGATTCTTTCTTCCAAACCTTCAATGCCAACTGACCAAGTATTCCATGACTGTGTGTATCTCTTTGTATTGAATCTTGGAGCAAACCAAAGTTGCAGAGTCAATTTTCTAAGAAGGCGGCAAACTAACCAAATTTTTCTGTCATCTGTTGTAAGATGTTTGAAGTATTTATTTTCTTCTTGGTACTTACGTAATATCCACCCATCATAAATATTGGTAATGAATACAAACTCTTCTTTGTCAATAGTGGAAAGTTTAGCTTTCAGTGTTGGCACGATGTAAGAAGTCAGAAGGCAGAAATATTTATGGTTCCAAACCCAGCGTATGTACACACCTTTATGTGTGTGAAGCAAAAAAGGTGGTGCAACTGATATATCAGATTTATCTGATGATTTGCTTACATAATTCTTAATTGCTTTCTTTATATGTTTAGCAAATTCTTCTCTAAATGTAGATCCTTTCAGTGGAAGATCCTTTGCAATTATAGTGCCTTTTCCAGGTGATTCAGAACTTTTGCACATGATGTCATACTCTGGAGATACTTCATACATAAAGTCAACATAGTTGATGTGAAAAATCTCATTTCCTTCCATAAGAGGTCCAGTGAGAATGGTTTTACCTTTGAACTTCTTGTCTTCAATACTTTCAAGTAGTTTGTCTGTTTCTATTTTTATTTTATCCTTTATCTCATTAACTTTCTTCTCCTCACACATGTTATTAACTGCAGCATCAATCAAGTCATCTGGTTTGGTTATTTTTAGATAATTTCCTTTAATGTACAGAAGTTCATGTGCTCGTTTTCCATCTTCAGTTTCATTTTTGACATGAAGTGCCTCTTCACGAGTCATCAAGGGCATCTGACAATTGGAACAGAATTCTTCATATTTTTTCATTAAATCTGCAGCTGTTAGTTGAATGTTACACTTCATTTCCTTTTGAACATCATTCATTCTTGCTAAAATATATTGGTAACATTCTTTGTGTCCTCCAATGGCAGCAAGATGAGCAGCAGAGTATTTCCCAAGAGTAACTTTATCTAGTTCAGGATTTCGATACAAAAGATACTCGATCATATTTAAGCATCCATACACAGAGGCGACGTGCAACATCGTACATTCTGAAAATGGCTCTACTACCCTATTTATATCCATATCTTTAAAAAATTTCTCACAGAGTATGAAAAGTATGTAAACAAGGTCATGTTTAGCTAAAAGATATAAGAAAAAGTCATCAGGGCGCTCCAGGGTAATGTCTTGATATTCCAAGTCTTCGTCTGACTTCACCTTACTGAGTTGTTCAATGTACTTCTTAAGAATGTTTGTTTCATATTTATTGAGCTTCGTATCGTCATGTTTTCCTGAACAAATATCCTTAAGTACTTTTCTTTCATTCGCCCAATATTCTTGCAATAAATCTGCAGGCAAAATTGCTGAAGGTGGCAAAGAAAAGGTAAATGGAACCATGTTCATGTCTCTACACAGAGTGACTTGTGTATCAAAGTGATTTCCAAGGAATGCCAACTTGAAAGGATTTTCTTCATTTTGTAATGGGTGAATACAAACATCTTCTAAGCCCAGTAGAACACAAGTTAGGGAGAGGCCATGAATTGCTGCAGTACACAGTAAATCTCTCGCTTTTTTACTTCGTTCTTCATAGTTATTACTCTCCAGTATGAATTTTGAAAAATTTCCAGAGATTTTAAAAGTTTTTTGATAAGATTCCATAGCCTGAAAAAGTTCATCCTCCTCTTTTCCTGTGATTTTAGAGTCTTTTAAAGTTTGTATCTCCATCTGTATCTTCTCACTGTATGCCTGGTGAAAAATAAAAATTCATAAATATTAATAGCTTCAAATTTATATTAATATAAGTTATAATTAGAACTGGAATTGTATATAAATGCAAATAAAATAGAGCAAATAATACTTAGATGTCGTGGTTTCCTTAAGTGATGAAAACATTTCACTCATATAATGGGTTTTATCCAATGGGTGCAGAATACTGATATTGAGAAAGAAAGGTGAGGAGCATGGGAAAATTTTGATGGTAGAGAACACTACACAGTATATATAAGTGGTAATGAATATGCCTGAGCGCCGTATGCCACAGCTCCTCACCCAGAGATCTCAACTCAAAGCTCCTCACCCAGAGATCCTCAACTCACAGCTCCTCACTCCAGAGATCCTAATGCCACAGCTAACCAAAATGGCAGTGGTCACACGCCCTGCCTAGCCCCACCCTCCCAAGCACCCACCTACACCCATGTCCTGTCCTGCCCCGCGCCCACACCGACCCGAGCCGCCCCTCTAGCACCTTCTCCAGCTCTCCGGATCTCTTCCAATCCTCGATCTTTTTTTTTCGAATTTTCAGATTTTTTTTACTTTACCCATTTTTCAAGAATGTTTTGTATTCTCCATCCCCTTGGATCAAGTTTTTAGGTTCCACCTATGGAGCTACATTTTCACTCCTCCATATGGGAAGACCGCCCCACTCCCTTTAAAGTCCAATTATCGAAGGTTTTTTGTAGCCTCCACTTCCTCGGATCAGGCTTTGAGGTCACCCCTATGAGGTATGGTAAACGTTGCCCCTATGGGTACCACTATGGTAAGACCACACCACTCCCCCCTAAGATCCATAATTTTACCCACTTTTCCAAAATTTTACAGTGTTGCCAAATTTCATCCATCATTCTGAATCAATATTTAACCCCACCTCCTGAACCCATACCACTTTTTTCTCAAAAATTTAATTTTTTTTCAATACTAAGAAAAGATCTGAGTTTTACTCACTCTTCAAAGATTTTTTCTAGTCTCCACCTCCTCGGATCAACACCTTACCCACACGTCTACCACCCACTTCCACCCCTATCCCAAAATCCCTGCTTCACTTCCTCGGATCACGATCACCACCATCACCCTCTAAACACAATATTCGTGCTCCATCTTCTTGGATCAAGATTTACCCTCCACCTCCTCGGATCAAGACCTCTCTCACGCCACCCACCATCCACTCCCATCTCCCCCAAACATTTTGATTTCTTTTTCATTTTCTTGTAGTCTGAAGTTCCTCGAATCAAGATCACCATCACCCTCTAAACCCTAATATTCCTGCTCCATCTCCATGGATCAACTTCTTCTCAATATCAATAATACAAAGATTTGAGCTACTCTCCGCTTTCTTGGATCCAAATTTTGGGTCCTTCCTATGGAGAGTGCTCATACATATGCAGGTCTAAACAAGTAACTTCCTCTTACACGAACTAGCATGCATGACATCAGTATTCCTCTCATTAAGTTAAATGAACTAAAAAGTGTGTTTACTCGGCGGTCAGTGACGTCACGTGATAGCCACCCATGACCTCACTCGAGGTACAACACGACTGATCAAGCTGGGTCACTTTGTGTCCCCTTATTAACTGAAAACGAGCTAAGTTACTTTTCTTCTTGTTAACTTAAATGAATAAGTCACTTTTCTTCTTGTTAACTTATATTCAGTAAACATAGGGTAACACTAATATTTTCCTTCATTTTCCATTTTATGTATTACATTTTCTTAATTACAAGAAATCTCAGTAATACACTACATTTCATATACAACAAATACATTATACATTTCATTTTTCCACTCTTTCATTAACAACAAATACAATGACTCATTACACATTTTTCTCTAGTTCACCCACAATTTTATACATAATACGACAAAAGATTCACTTGTCAGGAATTAAGATTTCAATTCACATCTTCCACATTTCTGCCGACTGACATGGACTGCCTGGCGAGGCTCGAATGCTAACCTGAGGTACACCCTTCACCTCCAACCTCCCGACCTCAGATAAGATCTCAGGTCTCTCCATAGCATCGTCTGAGACTATGACCTGCTCTCTCTCTCTCCATCCCAACATCTCACTCTCCCCCCTCAACAATCATCTTACAACTCTCCAACAAGTCACAATTTTCACTCAGTATCCACAGTTTTCCCCGTTTACTATTTCATCAGAAAATCACCCACAACACTAACCATTTTTACCAATACAAGAAAAAAGTTGTCACACACACCTGTCTCAATTCAACAAAAAGATACAAATTTCACTTATAACCCACAATTTTCTTCTTTTGATACGAATTTTTTCTCAAATGTTCATTGCCACTAATACATACAATTTCACTCTTAACCAGCAATTTTTCCCGTTTTTACTAATTCATAAAAACGCCCCAAAAAATATTTTTACATATTACGAATATTTCCTCGTTTCAGTATTCAGCAATACATCGGTAAATACGACAAAAGATTATCTTGCCACAAATTTCACCAATACAAGAAAGAAGATTTTTACTCATAATGTTCACAACATTTCACATTATATATGCACATCTCTTCAGATTACAAAAAAAAAACACTTTCACCAACCCCACATCATGTTTACCCACACACACATGCACACCCAAACAGTAAGTACAGCTCCAGGTATGCACGAGTAGTTGCACAGGTGTTTACTCATTAAGTATAGATCCAGGTATGCATGAGTAGGTGCAAAGACATAGGCAGGGTACTGCCGGTACAGGCTCTCTCGGTACATAGCAGCATCCATGTGGAGAGTCTACGATAAGTCCATAAGCCTGGCAGCAAGATTATCCCTCCCTCTCCTCCTCCCTCTCTCCTTACTTGACTTGGGTGGCAGGATAGTAATGCACACACGCACACACGCACACACACCCTACCATAATGGACCGGTCTCATAAACCCACTCATTCCCACACATACCCACAGTTCACACTCTCCTTGTACCTCCCCTTCCTCTCTCTTTCCCTCCCTCCCTCTCTCTTTCCCTCCCTTCCTCCTCCTGCTCTCCTCCTCCTATACCTCCTCCATCTTCCCCACCTCCCCTCCCTTCCTCCCTACCTGCCTCCCCTACCTCTCTCGTTCCTTCCCTCCCTCCTCCTGCTCCTCCTCCTTCTATACCTCCATCTTCCCCACCTTTCCTCCCTTCCTCCCTACCTACCTCCCTTACCTCTCTCGTTTCCTCCCTCCCTCTCTCTTTCCCTCCATTTCTCCCCCTGCTCCTCCTCCTCCTGTGCCTCCTCCATCATCCCCCACCTCCCTTCCCTTCCTCCCTACCTACCTCCCCTATGCCTCTGTTTCCTCCCTCCCTCTCTCTTCCCCTCCCTTCCTCCTGCTCCTCCTCCTCCTATACCTCCTCCACCTTCCCCCACCCCCCCCTTCCTCCCTACCAACCTCCCCTACCTATCTCTTTCCCTCCCTTCCTCCTCCTGGTCCTCCTCCTATACCTCTCCATCTTCCCCCATACCTGCCCTCCATTCTCCCCCTCCCTCTCCCCTCGCCTCCTAGGCCTGCAAGCACACAACCCAACCCACATGCCTCACACACTCTAACACTCCCTCCCCTCCCTCTCTCTCTCTCTCCCTCTCTCTCTAACTCACACTCTCTATCTCTCTCTCTCTATCCTCCTCCTCCTCTTTCTCTAACCCTCTAGCTCACACTCAAACACACTCTCTGTCTCTCACTGTCATCCTCCTCCTATACCTCCTCCATCTCTCTCCTCACCCCTTCTTCCTTCCCCTCCTCCCTCTCCCCTCTCCTCCAAGGCCTGCAAGCACTCACATGCTCCACACACTTTGACTCTCCTTCCCCCCTCTCTAACTCACACTCAACCACACTCCCTGTCTCTCTTTATCCCACTTTCTCTCCCTCTTCAATCTTCTCTCTCATTCTCCATACTCCTTCTACTCCCCTCCCCCCCCATTGCTCTTCCCCTGTCCCCCTTAGTCCTCCCCCATCTCCCTTCCCTTTGATGCTGTCCCCACCTCCAGCTCACTATCCTTTTCCCCTCCCTGTCTCCTCCTCCCTTCTCCCCACAACAAACACCTCCCTCCCTCCCTTCCCACAACAAGCACCCCCTCCACAGCACTCTTGGCATAAGCTCTTCCTTCTGTGAAAAAGAAACACGGGACACCAAAACCCTGGACGGAGAACCAGAGGAATGGTGGATGAAGCAAGAAAATGGAAGAGAAAATAGCTGAGGAGAGCAGGAAATGGAAATTACAAATCACAGCAGCTGAAGCTAAGATACAGAGCTTTATAGAAGAACTAAAGAGTCTGAAACAGCCTAAAGAACCAAAGGACAGTACAGCCATGACACCAAGAGCTACTACATCAGTAACCGATGAGGGGACAGTAGGGGACAAAGGAGATATACTGTATGCGAAGACTCCATCGGACCCAAGGGCGGCCTGGGAAAAAGCCAGGGAGAACAGCAAGAACTAATGAGAGGACTAAAGTCAATGAAGGAGCTAAACTATACACAGAGGCTCTAACAGACAACTGCCATGTCCAGGAACAGATAAGCACAGAGACACCGGATAGGGAAGAGGCAGTAAGAAGCAATGCGTCAATGGCAGGAACTAATTTGAATCAGAGGATGCTCAGGTAAGCACAGTGGGAGGATGAAAGAGAGAGGGCTGTTTTTGTCTATGGGCGCCAAGAAGTAGATGGGGAAACTTACAAGGCAAGGAACCAGGAGGATAAAAAACCGATCAAAAGCATCATAAAAGCAATAGGAGAGGACAACATGACTCAGCTGACAAATTTTAGGAGAATTGGGTGGTTTGCAAGGAAAAAAAAGCATCCAGTCAAAGTGATTTTCAAGGCAGAGTCAGCTCGAAACTGGATCCTGCAGGAGAAAGCACACCTAAGGGACAATCAGGCATTCCGGAGTGTGTACCTCAACCGAGGCAGAACACAAGAAGAAAGGATGACACTGGAAAAGAGGGTGCAACGTCGCAAGGAGGAATGG